CAATGGCGTTGTTGACGGGCGTACCGACGAGCTACAACGTCCCGTTTCTGCGCGTCCTCGCGCGGATCCCATGTCGTTTTACTTTAAACGGCCGCCATTGTTCGATGCGACCAATGGCGTCCGATTCCCGTGAACGCGTCACCCCATATATACACCGTGCCGAAAAACGACACGGTCCACCCACTTCAAGGATCTCACGGCCTAACTTACTCACCCGAAGAGAAAGCGGAACTACTGGCAGACTCCCTAGAATCACAGTTCGCACCGAACCCTGGAACAGACATAGAAGAGGTCACTCGCGAAGTCAACAAGATTAAAAACACCAAGATCCAAAACTCAGGTATTTCTACAACTCCAGGCTCCATCAAACACATAATCAACCGACTTCAAAACAAAAAAGCTCCAGGCGATGACTCCATCACAAACGCAGCAATGAAATTTTTACCAGACAATAAAATTATCACGCTAACCAAAATATATAACAGCTGTCTCCGCATTAGCTACTTTCCACCAGCTTGGAGAGAAGCCGTCACAATATCGATACCCAAACCAGGTAAAGACCCGAAGTTACCCGAAAGCTACCGCCCAATATCACTCCTGTCAACACTGTCCAAAATCTTCGAGCGAATAATCCTACATCACCTTTTGAAAGACGCACTCAGAAAAATTCGTGAAGAACAATTCGCTTTCAGACCAGGCCACTCCACCACACAACAACTAATCAAGCTCATCGACACTATAAGTATCAACCTCAACAACGGAATACAAACAGCTGCAGTGTTCCTTGATGTGGAGAAGGCCTTCGACAGAGTCTGGCATGACGGCCTGTTATACAAAATGTCAATAATGCAAATCCCAATCCACCTCATCAAATTAATCGAATCCTTCCTGACGCAACGTACCTTCAGAGTCAAATGCCTAGAACATATATCATCAGCCAGAAACATCACAGCAGGAGTTCCACAAGGATCATGCGTGTCTCCACTGCTGTTCTCCATATACGTTAACGACATGCCGACAAAAGGTAACACCAAAGTGGCCCTTTTTGCAGACGACACCATGTACCACACATCCAACCATAACGCAAAAAGAGCTGTCATACAAACTCAAGATCAGATCAACGTCACAGCCAATTGGTTTAGTAAGTGGAGACTTAAAATAAACCCAGCCAAAACAGTAGCAGTACTTTTCGGCCACAACAGAACCGAAACAATCCCAAAAATCCAACTAGAAGGACAAGAAATCAACTGGTCAGAAAACGTAAAATATTTAGGTGTAACCATAAACAGAAAGCTGAGCGCAAGACCACATGTGGAAAATATCATAAAGACCGCCACAAGCAAACGAGGAATCCTATATCCTATTCTCATGAAAAATAACCCAATTCCCATAAGGACAAAAATCAACTTGATGAAGCTCTACATCGAACCAACCCTCACTTATGCCGGCACATCATGGGCTCCCTACGTTACCAAATATCAATGGACAAGGATCGAAGCAGTGCAGACAATCACTTTAAGAATGATAACCGGAACAACCAAGATCCTGAATAACACAAAACTACTCAAACAATCCAACTGCACTTCAATACAGGAAAAAA